AAGCTATTAGAAACAATAAGCTAGTAGTAACAAGTGCCACGCTACTAGTAACAGGTGCCTTACTAGTAGTAACAAGAAGCTATTAGAAACAATAAGCTAGTAGTAACAAGTGCCACGCTACTAGTAACAGGTGCCTTACTAGTAGTAACAAGAAGCTATTAGAAACAAGTGCATTTCAGCACCCATGGACCGCCCTCGAGGCCCGAGGCCCACCGTTTCGTCCGTTTCGCGGTGTTTCGTCAGCTCCTGTCGGGACACAGCTTGCCGTAGCGAGGCTGCCACCTTCGTTTTTGTTCGTTCGCGTTGCTTTTCGGGGGCAACAAGGACCACCACAAGGACCCAGGACCAAAAGGATTGGGCGAAGAGATGGGGGACCATAGATCAGCGAAGACCATAGATCTTTTTATTAGGGATCCAGTCGTACCGAACCTCAGAAGGTACTTGGAGCCTCCAAACCTACATAACAGTGTCTCCAAACACCTTGTGAGAAGGTACTTGGGTCCCTAGGGTATCTATAGATTATCTAAATATACCATATTGATCATGCTCGAGACGGGAATGTTTGTATGTTTCGGGGCCTGCTTGTTGGACGTATTTGCCGTGAATTTCGAGGGTCCAATTATCTTGGGTGTGTGGACTCTGAGTTGGAGACCCAACTTTAGCGGTGGGCCGTACTGGAGCTAGGTCAAACAATGGTGGGTTCGTCCAGGGATGAACACGTTGCCCCGTTTTAGCCGGGGAAGCCAGCGCCAAATGGATGAACACTAGCTGTGCCATGGCATTTGTCTCCCCTCACATCTTCTCCGGCGACACTTCTCAGGACATTTCTTTCCTGTGACATCTCTCCTTTGTGCCACTTCTCTCTTCTCTCCTGTGGCATCTCTCTCCAGTGACACACCTCCTCTGACATCTCTCTACTGTGACTATTCATTGGGGCTGTTGGTTGTGGGGTAGTTAGTGCCTGGCTTGTTCCATTTTCAATTTTGGGCAGCACGGAAGGTTCTTATATACTGGGATTCTGGGCGCAACGCACGATGTGTAAAAAACAGTAGGCCGGATTTGTTTTTTCTATTGTTTAGTTTTCCATCCATGTCTCTTTCCTAATTCGATTCTGTTTAACTCTTTGTCATGATTAACTACATCGAATCCAGTTATCTGATTTTAATTCCAACCCTTGCCTTGTCCTCCATATGATCCTTCCTTGCCTTTCCTTTTGACATTCAGTCGGATTCTATGTCTAGTTCTAAATCTGCTTTCATCGTCCCAATGGTGGCCTCCTTGCTTCTTCACCCTGTCTTTTGCCTTCTCTCTCTCTCTCTCTCTGACGCTCCTTCTATCTATCTTCCCGTTGGTCTCTCCGCGTCAATCCACTCTCTCCGTCTCTCTCAATTGACTCAACCTGTTTGTTTGTCTTCCTCTCTCCACTTCTCTTTCTTTCGTTCTTTTCTTTCCTTTCCTTTCCTTTCTTTTCCTTTCTTTTCCTTTCATTCCTTTTCCTTTCCTTCCTTTTCCTTTCCTTCTTTCTGTCTTTCTTTCTTTCTTTTCTTTCTCTCTCTCTCTGTTTCTCTCTCCTGTTTTCTCACCTTCTTTTTGTCTTCGTTTGTTGATTTGTTCTTTCGCTCTGTCTCTGGCTTGTGGTTCATTCTATGTTGTTTCTTTTTGTGTCTTCGTATTTCTGCTTTAAACAAAATAAACAACTTGATGTCACTTTACTTCAAGTGGCTATTATTCTTTGCTTTTTTTTCTCCCTCTCTCTCTCTCTCTTATCGACTCCACTCTCTCCATCTGTCCCTCACTCTGCCTCCACTTGGCCCTTGTTGGACAATCTGTCTCTCTCCACTTTGTGCCCAGGTCAAGTGCCCTTGGAGTTCGCAGGAACATGCCCAGTTCCTGCAGGGTGAAAGGTCGAAGGCCGAAGACCTACGGAGAGCGGAAAGCAAAGAGGTAGGTGATCTGCTGCATTCTTTCCATACGAACTACCATGGTTCTGGTTTAACAAGCTCTTCCGGCATCCGCCAGCACCAGTTAGAGTTAGACGCTGCCAAGGACTGACATCTCGAGGCTGTTGAGTTTGAACCACATCGAGAGGTCTTCGTCTGACCTGCAAGTGATGCCCTTCTTCCAAATCACCTTCCTCCAAATCCGAAGAGCCATCCAAGAGGCGATCCGAGTTGGGCACGTTGTTTCAACACCGGCCAAGGAAGAATCGACGTGAACATTTGTCACAATGCATGCAATCCTGAAACTCATTTAAGAGTTCATTGCCCACTGGAAGATAGCTGAAACTCTTAGATCATGGATATCTGTTCGGCTCAAGAAGGCACAAGCCTCAACTAACCATTGACAGTGTTGCATTCATTGCATGTCCTTGGCTTGAACATGCTTCATGACATATATTCCTCTAGCACCCGCCGTTTTTGCCTTGTTGAAACATGTCTTTCAACGCCAACATCCACGCAGCGGCCACTACTCTGGGCATCCCAGCACGACCAGGATCCAGCGGACCTGGCAGCCAGGCCCAGCGGTCGAATCCTTCGTCTTCTACGCACCAGACTTCTACAAGTTCTTTCCGCCCTTCCAACGAGGCTGGTTCAGATCTTTTTCTTGTCGCCTCAGATCTCTTCAGATTGGGTCTCATACCTCCAAAGGGAGGGCTGGGGGGATTTCTCCAGCCCCGCAGCAACGCATCCAATCACCAGTGAATCCACTCGTCAGGCGGTGATTGAATTCCCGGTTCGGACCAGGGACCGGTCTACTTAGCCAGGGTGGTGAATAGAGGGTGCCTCAACTTAGCCAGGGTTGCACACTCATGTTTATTGTTCTTGTTTGGAGTCCTTGTTGAACAATCTGGTGAAAAACATCCGAGGTTATACAGAGGGAAGAATGCGGCCATGATAGTTCACCTCATGCTGGACACGAGGCGCAGCCAAATGCTATATGTGCTGCTCTGATACAAGCTGGTGCACGATCTTCCGATCTGGGAGACATGAACAACATCTCAAGCAACACAAGCTGAGCTGTCTCTATAGGTCCAATAAAGGAATGCCCCAATCGCTGCCCAATCTCTGATCGTGCTCCGATTTCCATTCTATCGCATCGTTTCTGCTGTCCCATTCTGAAACAAGCCTACTGTATCTATAACAATCTCAAGTGAACCACCGTCAAACCTGGAAGAGGACGATGTGTTCAGTGTTTACCCCGTTTCCTTCTGAACACGTTCACATACTTCCACCAATCTCAACCAAACTACTTCATGATCTTCTTGTCTTCCTGTGTTCCTTGAGTTGTTCTGCGTCTGTGTGTCCGAGGCCTCCCAAATCTCTTGAAACTCCCCTCCAAAAATATACAGAACAATGTTCCGTTTTGGTGGTCTGGGAAGATGTTCTGTTTTTTGGTGAAAACAATGGGGCAAAACACATACAAAAACGGTGTTTCACGGTGACTTGTGGGCCAAATATCACCGCTCTCAAAAAGACACCCGTGATCACCAGCCCCGCATCCAGGTCGGACGCCCGCAAAGTCTGTCCCTGGGCGGTGACCTTCCTGCTTCTTGGGGTAGAAGGACGCCATGCCGAAGGACCACGGCGGATCTGATCGGTCTCATGATCTCACCTAGCCGATCTGATGGACGCCTTTCTTCGATCTGCAGGGCTTCAAAAGGTAACAAAAAAAGTCCCAAGCATGCCATGGGACTGGAATATATGCCTACAATATGCCTATATTGGCCTCGGGTCAACCACCCCAAATGTATGCAAATATGCCATACATGGAGTGTCTGGGATTTGTGAACACCAGAAGGGTGCTGGACTCTGAGGTGTTGTGGAAGAATGCGTCCGACGGGACCACCTTTAGATTTGGACCAACCATGACCAACCGGATTGCGCAAGACAGGTACCGATGCCAATGCCCTTCCAGAAGCCGGACTGGACACTCATCGTGACCCCTGCCTGCCACGGCATGGCACAACTGTCGCCATCGATGCTAACGTCTATCTATAGGCAAAGTCTATAGGCAAAGACGCCCCGACCGATATAAAGCTGGAAAGCCCCAACCAGGGGGTAGAGACATCACATGAGCACCTCCATGTGTAAACTCAGCTCAAAGCTGCGTCCGTCCTAGAAGGAATACTGGAATCAAGGCAGCAAGGACTTGCGAGCTAAAGGACTTGCAGTGACTTGCAGTATAAATCTTCTGTTGGCCAGTCCGCGGTACTTGAAGCTTGGACCTTTTTAGACTTATGAAAAGCCGTCTACTCTTCAACGCGTGGGCCAGCGAGGCACTGCTTCGTGGGTCTTTGTTCACAGGTTCTGCTCAAAACCAGCTGGCCTCCCCACCATTCCCAAGCCATTCAATGTTTCTTGCCGCTGTTCTCCACAAATAATTAAGTGCCTCTTCGGACAAAGACAAAACAAAAAACGCAAGCATCTTCACTTGATTCATGAAATAAGATCCTCATCCTGTGTCCTCACCAATTCGCCCGGATTAAATGGAGCCGTGGAGCGGCGTCATCGACGGACGTCTGACGTCTACCTTTTGACGTTTGGTTGAATTTCCCTAGACGTGAGGCTACTGGCTAGACCAACAGCTGAAGCAGTGCCAAGAAACACATCACTTTGTTTGGTTCCTATGTCTTTTTCCTCCGAAACTACGCCATGTCCAATGACAAGCTGAAGGATTAACATAAAGCTAGAGGATCGTAGTTTCCACGATTTGCTAGCAGATTGGACCGCGCACCTGCATGTTGCCGTTGTGGAGCTTCAGTATGCCCGTAGTCCATCCACGTGGAAGAAGTGATTCGGCAAAAAAAGACACATGTGTACAGTACCAGCACCAACCGTTTCGGATGGTTACAAGGATGGACAATACATAGTCCGGGGGTCTGTAAGCCAAGCTTTGGGTTGTGCTCTATCATGGTATATAGTCTAGTATAGATCTATTGCACTGAACAAGCTTAAACACAGGCTCGACCACAGCCTTCTATAAACACAGGTGAATCTCAACATGCAGAAGTATGGGCTCCATGATCCCAGATCAAGATCCTCCCATGTGCTGTTCGCCGCGCCGGAGGGAACTTTTTACCACGCAAGAGCCGGCGGGGTGGCTCCTGGACAACGAAAAGGACTGGCGGCTCACCGAAGTCGTGGAATCAGGTGGACGAAAACGCAGAAATCTCCCAGGTTCGGGCAAAACACTAGTTCTCTTCCCGGAGACATATAACTAAAAAACGTCTCTGTTCTGTGGATATTCGGAGGTCTGTGGAAAAAAAGAGCAAAGAATGAATTATGTAATTATACCCTTCAAACAGCGAGTTATTCACGTGCAAGAAAAAAACTGGGTTCCGCTCAGACATCCACTTTCCGCACGAAGAAAGCACATCTTTCCTACCCCCCACGGACGACCAAACATACCCAACGCCATACCATCGGACGTTCCAGTCCGTTGGGCCTCAAAGCGGTTCCGAAGCTCCATCTGGAGGATCTGCCTCCGCCCCTGCGTCACCGGCCTGAAGGCGAACGAAGATTCTCGATCGGCGCGTCCTGTTACTAGTAGCTTCTTTGTTCCTAGTAGCAGGGCCAGGAGCCCCTAGTAGCGATGCCCTTTGCTCCTAGTAGCTTCTTGTTACTAGTAAGAATGCTCCATTCGAGTCGCGATGCCAGGATCCCCGTTCGTAGCGTGACCGTGCTCCGTTCGTAAGGCCTCAGGAGCCCCGTTCGTAGCGTTCTGGTTATACTTCCCGTAGGTTCCGACGTCTGATCCTGCGGACAGTAAAAGGATGTTGTTTTTCAGGAGTGTCTTTATAGAAAACACAATGAGTATATAGACACCGACCTGATTAAGAGGTGTGGAGACCTGCGTCGACACGTCTCTCACTTCTGGGGGTTTTCATTCGGAACCATGGTATTCCCACAACCCTCTGGAGACCTACGTCCAACACCCAAATAGAAGAGGTCTCTTCAACTGCCAGGTTCACCCCCATCTCCATGGCATTGGGCCACCGGACTGCCAGGCGTTCCGGACGTTCCGTGCCCCACGCGACGCTCGTCAGCTTGGGCTCCCTGCGTGATCCAGTGATGGCACCGATCCCCTCAGATGCAATGCGAGTTCGGTGACATCGATTGCTAGATTGAAGCAAGTGACATAGCATGGCAACGTAACATAACGTTGTTTGATGCCCATGGGCAACAATTGCTGGGGCATTTCTGGTCGGCTGATCTCAGAGATATTGCACGTATGGGGCGCTATTCCAGTCTCAACTCCACAAATGCAACATCACCTGAGATAGGACCCCCAACATATCCTGCATCCCCTCTGTTTCAACCAAGAAGTCTGCATCCAAGTCTGCATCCAAGTTTCATGGTTTCCCACCAAAACACATATTTTAAACAACAACAACAACAACAACAACAACAACAACAACAACAACCACAACCACAACCACAACCACAACGACAACGACAACGACAACGACAACGACAACCACCACCACCACCACAACAACAACCACAACCACAACCACAACCACAACCACAACGACAACCACAACGACAACGACAACGACAACGACAACCACCACAACAACAACAACACCTGTAACAACAACAGCAGCAGCAGCAGCAGCAACAACAACAACAACAACAACTTGGAGGAAATCCCATCCAGAACCAGCCCATTCCGGAAACGTTCCCCGGATACCTTCTTCGCCGCGTGGCCGAAGAAGAAGACCGCGTCGCCCTGCTGAAGCGGGACCTCTTTGAAGCGGTGGCTCTCCGAGGGCTCTCCGAGGTCCCGAGCGGTCCGGGTGAGCAGTCCACCGGTCGTCCTCCGGGGCCTCTGGGCAATCTACACTTGGGCATGCATCTCCGGTGAATGAAGAACCCATTTCAGAACCCTATATATAGAAGCCAACTATCCCATATATATAGGTTCTCTCAGGGATACGGGTTCCGAGAACGTCAACTCACCAGTCTGCGTATGTATGGGTGTATGTAAATTCCTCCAAAATACTTGCAACCTCAAGGTCAATGGCCAACGGCAAGCGGTTCTTTCGGGGGGTTCTAGGCGTGATATGACGATCGCCTCCTTATCTAGTGGGTGGTATCATGTGGTATCTATTTGAATCAAGTCCTTCTCAAAAAGATGCGTCAATCGGGAGGTTGACCACAAGTCACAAGTCAAAGAATGTATGGTTTCTCACTGAAGAAACTGCACTCCCTTGTGGCAAGGCCGCCAACCTGACATTCACAAACCCTTCTCCAGTATCTCAACGCCCTCCAGTATACAACCCCAAATCTTCTCCTTCTCACTGAGCCACGAACTCAGTAGCTTTGGTCGTCCAGTAATTAGTAGCTCGGGTCAAGAGACGGAAGCCTCTGCCACTCTCCCACTCTCCCCACGGACGCCTGCCGCGGACGGTCGCTGCCGTCGAAGCAGTTCACGCCGCCCTGGAAGTCCTTCTGATCTGAGAGGAGCGCCTGGCGTCCGTTCGCCCGCCGTCGGGCCGTGCACGCTGGTGGGATATATTTTTTTTTGGGACTCGAGCTGCGGATTTGCAGCTTCAAAGGAAGAGGGTGTGAAAGAAAAAGGAGAAGAGCACAGTGGTATAGCATACAGTGGTGACAGGTGGAGAGTTTTTACAAAGAGTATCTTCATGAGAGCTACTTCAAGGCGTCCATAGTCCATTCGTTCATGGCTCGGTCGTTCTGCGATGAGATGTTGCTCCAGGTCTGAACCCAAACTTGCCGGCTCAAACTTGCATTCCTGGATCAGCCTGGATCACTAGTTGTTTGCCACAGTGGATGTGGATTGATTCGGTGTGTTGACCCTCCAACCAACGAGATGATGTTGGGAACATCTCCAAGTTTCTCAAACAGGACGTCACTGCAAGTGCATCCTGCTCATGCACAGTTCAGGAAGTCCCGAAGTTCTATAACAAGCGGAGGATGGACGAGCAAAGCTCTATTTAGTGCGTACTCTCCAACTCCCTGGCAGTGCATCAGAACGAGGCACAACTTCTTTACAACCAACATGTTCCCACTTCCTTGTTGAAGTCTTTCAAAGCGCCCCTTGTTCCCCTGAGTCCGAGACCACCATGGTCACCATGCTATCGTTGTCCGCGTGGCGCGCAATGCTGCCGGGCTTTGCCAGCTTTTGCACGTTGTAGTCAATGTACCTGGCAACGGATCGACCGCCACGAGGCTTCATGTGGACATGGGAGGGGGGTCGCGCATCCACCGGCGAGTTCGGGTGAAGCTCCAGAAGAAAGACCTCAGACCCACTTGAGCTGCTAAAGCTGCTAAGCTGCTAAGCGCTAGGCTTAGCTCCTTTCTTTGGGGAGATGTCATGAAACAAATCTTTCTTTGGGGTCTCCAAGACACCCATAGCAGGACATGGGTATTACATGGCACAAATACAACATCCATCTCACCATTGATATGGGTATTACATAGGCAGGACACCTTATTTAAAAAAAAAAAAAACACACATCAGCAATTCAATGATCACCAGTCAGGCCCATTCGGAGACGTCCTCGTGTCGTACGTATCCCGTGTGTACCACGCACACGCGTGCCGCGCGTGTCGGGGGGTGCACTCGATCTCTGGAAAGACAAACTCCAAAATGTTGCCCCACATCCTGGCGGATTTCTTGCGCATCTCGCTCCACAGATGGATGTGTGGCTGGCGCGTTTGACAAACCACGGATCTATAGCGGGATGTGGCAGGTCCGATCGGACCAGGCAGGTCCGAGCAGGTAGGTTTTGGACAAAAAGTAAATGCCCAACTCATCAGTGAGATGTTATATGTTGCTCATGTTGCTCTGTAATCCACATGGACCCATGCATGACCATTCATGACCATCACCTGCCAGCAGGACAGGGATTTTTGAGGGGAGTCACCCGATCAGCAGAATCAACCTGAGGATGAAGCCACATATTCCACAATTGTGGCGATTTTTCTAGACGAAATTGACGCGTGCATACAAGTTCTCACGTGGCAAGACTGATGGGAGTTGAGTCTGGTGAACTCACGGAATCCTCTTTTTTCGCGAAGAGTGCGATCATGTGCGATATATCCAGGGTATGAGCCACTCGAATCCATACAGGCTCAGGAACCTGGATCCATTTTGATCCCCCAAATACTTGCAATGCCCCCCGAAGTCACCCTCAGTCCCCCTCCCCCACGCTGCCCAGTCCACATCCTCTCTCCCGGCATCCGGCATCCTTCGCTCGATGGACCAAGCAGAATCGATGAGCTTCTGAAAGAGACTTGGGTGATTCATTTGCATCACTTCCTGCACCAGCCGGTGGCCGAATCGATCCGATCCTCCAGATTCGTGGCAGTGAGTCGTTTTTGGGCAGGACACAGAAAAAGTGACCGGCCGTTTGTAACCGAATAGAATGGCAGTCACGATTTATTTTAGCAGCATCTTCTTTTAGAGCTTCACAAATAGGCAGTCACATGATGAGTAGTGTGTAATATGTACCAATGAATTGTATATATTCTTAAAGTGTGTCACCGAGTCAAGAACACAAACACACACCTGGGGTTGTTGGTTGATCATGTCTTGGAATGTTGCAAATACAAAACACCTCAATAGATCTCAATAGTGTCTTTATAGGATATGGTACAATCACCTTCTGCATGTAGCTTCCAGTGTCAACCGGGCACGGTCTAGTGATCTGTTTTCAATCTCGCCGATTCTGACTTAACGAGATTGAACACACCTCTTAAACGACAAAAGTCGATGCAGCTGGCCATTGTGCATGTCCAATTGGATTGGATGGGGGTTAAGTCAGGTCATGTGCAGTATTTAAGGTTGCGCTGACATGCGCCTCTTCAAGCGGACCAGCATGTGACCCTGTCGAGTGGCTTGTGTTCTGCCGAGTGGCTTGTGTTGAAACAGAGTGTTTAGTCCCTACAAGGCCGGACTGGTTGGTTGGGATCATCAGCATCACCCCTCAGGTGTTTTTTTGGCAAGAGAACACATGAAGGACGTTCGCCATGGAACTCTATTATTGGCGTGTATTGATCACCTAGTGGCCGCCTAGCTGCTATTGCCGTGGGTAATTCTATTCGACTGGGCCATGTGTAACAAAATCCTGTTGATTCAGTTTTGGGAAAAAACACAACCCCTCTCAGAAGGTATGACTGGGCCCTCGCAGCCTGCATAAACAGTCTCCAGTCACCTTCTCAGAAGGTGGCAATGGATTCTTTGGAAAATATATAAACATGTATAACAATGTATATATAAGAGCTCCCGATGGCTCCTTTTCGTCTCCTCCCCCGTGACCCCCATCCGCAAATCTGCCTCCATCCGCCAGACCTCGTGGGCCTCAGGGACGACGAAGCGTGCTGAGTGGGTCATTGGATGGAGAGTGCCTTAGGGGGGGGTCTCTCTAAAGCGTTCAACGTTCGCGGTTTGGGTTCGTTTCGGTGGTTGGGTTTGGGGTGGGTTGGGGTGGGTTGGTCTAAGCACCCAACCTCAGGATATGGTTGGAGCCGTAGGATTCATGATCTTCCGCTTTTCTTTGTTTTTTGATTGGTGCTCTGCGTGCCGATCTACGGATGAAGGCCGATCCGAATCTGGGAGAATTCCGATTCCAAGCGAAAGCCAGCGACGCCGATCGACGGAATCCAGGTGATTTATCCACGTCCGTTCGAACTCACGAGCGTTTGAGCGTTAAAAGAACACGTGATTCCTTGGTTCGTTTTCGATTCCTTATGGGAAATAACCATGAATATCATTGAATGCTCCGTCAAACTTAGGAAAGAAAAGGCGGACGAAGCTGTCCTCAGCTCAAACTGCTGGAGGCAGAAACCATCACATCTCTTGCAGAAAGCAGAAAGCATGTGACTGGGATAGTGACCAAAGACTAGAACGTATTGCACATGCACTTTGCAGTGCGAAAGGGACTAGTGAACCAAGTCATCTGCATGTCCAAAAATGGGAAACACCCTCCATACATCCTTGGTAGCAAGAGGAAGACTATAGGGGAACTCCTGGTGCAGGATGTTTTTTGCCTCCAGCAAAGGTTGAATTTGTTCATGTGGCCTCCCTATGTGAGAGATCATCACTAACAGGCATAGTGATAGACCATAGACATCCATCAACCGCTTTCCTTCAACGACCACTTCGACATCGCGACGCGTCCAACGACGACGTGCTCTGGCGGAGTCGGGCGTAACCCAGCTCGTCGTCGCGGTCATCGATGGCCCAGGCCTTGGGGTCCTGTGAGCGCGGTCGGCGCATCGCTGAGGACCCCGAAACGGGCCGAGGACGGGGGGAGTGGGTGAGACCAGGGAGTTTGAAGAGATAAATACATGTAGCTTAAAGGATCTGAAAAGAAGCCTACCTTGTGCTAGATTCTGTTTGGATCTGTTTGGTCCAACGTGAACCTGGTGCCATGTTGCGTGGCTTCAAAAAGCTGCTGAAGCGTTCTTGCTCGCCGAGACGCCGGAGATCCGGCCACGGTGGTCTGTGGCATTTGGGCTTTGAACACTCAGGAGCAGGCAACAAAATTGACCAACATTAACATACCCTCAAGAATCTAAGACATACAGTAGGTGTTTTAAAACTTATCTACTTGCTCTGGGTTGTAGTAAGAAACGGGGTGTTTTCCTGCTGCCTATCCTCCCACAAAACAAATAATGGCGCCTCGAACTATTCAGGATTAGGTCGCTGCAATTGAAAAACACCATCCACTTTGCACAAATCAACCTTCAAATTATTGCCAACGGCTTCGCCTATATTGGTTCAATTATACTGGACTCTGGAGAGGCTGGAGGCGGGAGTATTGTATATATATGCTGTTCACACTTCCAATGAGCAAATGTTATAAGCTGTGTTGGTGTGGGTGCATGTTGGTTCTCCCATGAGTGAAGCGCAAGGAGAGAAACGTCAAGGAGACTTCGGTCAGATTTGGCCCGCACCGCAAGTGCCCCGAAGTGGAGGCAATGTTCATTCAATTTCCAATATCCCCAGTTCTACCAGGACGGATCGCATGGCAAACTCATTCTGTTTGACATCCCTTTTGATTCAAAGCGGAATTGAATCCTTCGGACTCCCGGACTCCTGCGGTCTGCACCAACAACATAAAAAATAATCTACGGTAAATCAGATTGGATACCAAACAAGCCTACCATCACTCCCATTGACTTGTAACAAACAGCTCCGACTGCAAGTGGCTGAAAAAGTCACATGGAGAGATCGAATCGTTTTTGATCACCCTAGCATTTGATCAGTCTGAGGGTGCATGTAATGTAATTATTGGATTCCAACATTTTTCTGGCCGATGGCCTCCACTTGCACCAAGAAAGAAACATCCAGAACCAGGAGTTGAAGTCGTCCGAACCCAGGTTAAATGATCAAGTGTCCCCCATGTGGCAAGAGCAGGCTAATTGAAAAAAGGCTTCAGACAAGTCACCATGACTTTATAGCAAAAACATAGAGAAACCTCCCACACATCCATGTCCGGAACCGAAACGGACACCCACCTCCGTCACGTCGGCCGGACTCCGGTCCTCGCCCGCGGCCAGGGCGTGGTGTAGCTCCGCAGAGGACAAGAAGCCCCGGAGGAGCGCTAGATCCTCCTCCGGGCTGGGCCTTGGCATTCGGTCGGTACGGGCAGGGCCTGTGATTACGGGTCTTCTTCCCCAATGTTCCGCCATGGTGGGCCTTTTAGGGGATCGATTGGTATACATCGAACAAACATCCTCCAACTGCCCAAGTGACATCTGGCCGAATTGGCTTGTTTGGATGTGACAACTCGCGCGGGCAGACGACGCGTCGTAAGGGGCGAACAAGGTGGGGTGACCGGGCCGAAATCCCCGCCCTTGGGGCGGACTCCAAGTTGAACACTTGAAAAGGACTCGAAAAGCGCCTGGTATCTGAATCCAAAAAGGCAAAACCTAGTACAGTAGTTTTTGATAAATGTGTTTAAAATCAAAAAGGTTGAACGGTTGAACACCACGGAAATACTCACCAGCTCCCAGAAAATGCCTGGCATCCCAATACCAAAAGTCGAAACGTCGATAAGTGAAAGAAAACAACACGAACACACCAAGCACAAAAGTCAACAACTTCTTGCATTTGTTCATGTCATTTCATTTGGGTTCTGAGGATGGCAGCTCCTTAGCAGGCCTCAGTGCCTGTGTCCCCGTTGTCCCAAGCTGGGCTGTCGCACCCCGCAATCCGCTCCAGTTCTCCAGAGAGGGCCGGAGGGTCGCCCAGCAGCGGCACCTGCCAAGAAACAGACTCAATTGGCGAACGAAGAGACCTATCCATTGGAGGGGACATGTATGAAATATGATGAAGGACGTTTCAGGGGTCAATGTATGAACATTGAGCCGTGTATACTACGTGGAGTGTTTGGGCATGGAGAATCGTCCAAGACTGTGGCCATGCAAGAACAAACAATTCGGCATGGCCAAGCAATGGCCGTCCGAAAGTATGATGTTATGTCATGTGCAGATGTTTTGCTTCACAAATTCCTCATGTTTTGTGCTAGCTACGTAGCAAAATTCTGGCATGCCCAAAGGGCACCGTGATGTAGTCTAGACTCTAGACATACCAAGGGTGGTTGCTCAGACCCTTGCAGGATCAACTTCGTGGATTGCTGAGATGGGAAACGACGATGCGGAACATCAACCCGTGTTTTCCGAGATGAGATCCATCATGTTCACAAGGGGGTCACCCTCACAAATGGTGTCGTGAGGGTAAGAGGACAGCCCATCTCAATGTGCAACACCACAGCATAGCAACTGCACAACCATAACACACCAAAACCATCAAGTATCTTCAAGCCTTCTAGCAATCCTGCTTCAACATCCTTAATGCTGTAGGTCGTCGTCGTTTTGCCTCTTTTGCCCCACCCCCTAAGACCAGCGGAATTGCGAACGGCACGAACGGCCCGGGCTGCCGCCCCGGCAGCGCACCAGCAGGCACCGGCCGGCTGTCCAAGCTGCCAGGAGCGCGGAGAGACGTCGCATGCTGCGCCGAGATGACCCGCTCGCTGTGCAGCTGAGCCGAACCGAGCGAAACTCCGTGAATGTGAACGGTCTATGTTTAGCACGTTGAAGTCTACATTCACCTTCACCAGGTCTTTTTCATATTTCATCGGAGTCAAACGGTGTGTCCGGGAGGTGATGAACGACCCTGGCGAGGTGACGACCGTCAGACGGTCACTTACTGTAACCGGCACTTCACCGTCCACTCACCGAAGCGACTCGACTTGCTCTGGCCGCGAAAAGAAGATCGACCAAATGCACGAGCTTTCCCATACCTTTTTCTCCGATTGTTGAGACTTTAAAGGAGACACATCTCAGACACTTACGACGAGAAAATGTTCTTGGACGTGTGAGTGTGAACCACTCATAAACATCGTCACTGAACACTGGTGAGTCATCTCTGCCCAACTTGCCCCCAGAACATTTCCCAACAAGCAGCAATCTGATCGTTGAGTTCCTATATGTTCCTATACTGTGTTGAGTCAAAGAAGCTGCTTGAGCCTATGCTGGGATTCGGCTCCGATTTCGCAACTGTTGCATGTGGATCTCCCAGAACCGTGGAGCAAGAAGACTAAGACTGAGTTTGGCCTTGAACATGGCCAAACTGACTCAGATCCTTGGAGCAGTGAAATAGAAACAAACACATGAAGACAACAGAATGATTTTGAGGCCAAACACACATGGGTGTGTTTTTTTAGACCTCCCAGGCGTCTCGACCCCCCGTTTGTTTGGTTCGGAAAATAGACCAGTCTACCCAGCCAGGACCAGGGGCTCTTCCTGTTGAAATACACACCCACATTGACAATACCTTGATATTCCCGTTCGATGAATGGCGCCAGAGCCTGGGCTCGTGTAACGAATGCCTGCATATGAACAAGAAAAACGCCCATTGTATGTCCACCAAGCAATAACAACTAGTTCATCCTATATCCAAGCGGTCCAGCCTCTCTACCAGCTTACCACTCCTGGGCCCCATGCCTACCATGCCAAAGATTCCTGAATTGGTTTCAGGGAACATCGGACACCCATAGTCTGGGGAGTCAAGAACCATTGGTTTCCTGTTGATTGTCCCGTAAACTAATCCAATGAATAGATCTACGGCTTCTATATACATCAAATGTCCCTGGTCAGTTGCCAATCTTTTCAGGCGCGACTTCTCCGGTCGCCTCAGACGGGCAAAAACCGGCGGTGGGACGGCTGCTGGGGGCAGGAGGCAAGGCTCTTGAGCACAACTGGAATCCACAAATTTGTTAAATAGAGTGAATTGTACCAGGACCCTCTAAGGGGTGCCCAATGGAAGCCTATAGGTAGTGTGGGGCAGTCCAGCCAGGACACCCCGACAGGAGGGTCCTGGTACACAACATACTTACCTCAAGAACATATATTATCTATACGTATCGAGACGTGGCGGTGGATGCACATCGAGACGTGACGAAAACGGCTCTTGGCAAAGCGAGACGTTCTCGGTAGCGAAAGGTCTGAAGGGTCGGTGATGTGATGTGCCTGCCGGGCCATGAGTCGGCTATTGGGCCGGTCCGGGTCCCATGAAGTGAAGGCATCGGCATCGGCAGCTGGGTGTCGTATTCTTTAGAGAAGGCAAACCCCCCCGAAATCCTCGCCCTGGGGTAGACTGGGTCGGAATTCCGCACCGAACGCAGGGGGGGGTCGAGACGTAAGGGATCTCTTCCATATGACTCCCACTGCCCTGGGGCGCTCACGGAGCGCACGCGGCGCTGAGCGCTCATGGGCCGCGTCAGTAAGGGCCAGGCCGCCCCTTGGAACCCTGGGCAGGGCAGCAGTGAGGTGGTGCAACGACCAATAGGGAGACCTCCCAGGCGTCTCGACCCCGGTTTGGTTCGGAATATAGACCCTTCTACCCAGCCAGGGCCAGAAGGTCTTCCTATTAAACAAAAAAAACATACACACCCATGTGTCGTGGAGGATCTTCGGCACCGTTCGCCGAAGCTGGATGGATCTTTCATGATCTCCACTGCTGGTTACTCCAAGAAACGAATTAGACCTATTGCAAGCCATCAATGTAATTGATCAACAACAACATACCATTCATATTTCATCATAGATGCAGTGGGCTACCTGTTGCATGTGGAATCATGACAGGAACAAGCAAACACTGTCGCTATCCACAAAACAAACAAACTAGTCCATGTAGCTACCTAAAACTCTTGCAAGCCACGAAGCAAAAAAACAAATAAATGATAACTGTTAAAACACCCTGAGCCAATTCAGCCGTGCATGCATCTAGTATTCTGGTCATTGCGTCTATTGACGACTGTTGACATCTACAAATCTATTCCGATCCATAAATCTATATCAACATCTACTGCAATCCAAAAATCCATTGACTACTATTACAATGCAATGCAAGAATCTATATATGGACAACTATTAGCAGTCAGAATCTGTTGAACACTAGTGCAATCCATAAATCAATTGACAAGTTATAAGTACTCCAATCCACGCATCTATAGTCACCTATTGGAATCCATGAATTGATTGACAGCTATCGTAGTGCATGAATACATTGACACAACTATTGCAATCCATGAAGCTTGATTGATAACTACTATATACAACCCCCTGAAGACATTGACAACTATTGGAATTGGTCCAAGAATTTATCAACAACTACTGCCATCCAAGCATCTGCTGACAACAATTGCAATCTACAAATATGAATCTGTTGTATAACGACTATTAGAATCACTGACATTTGTTACTAGTCATTTGCAGTCCATATTGCAGTCCATGAGCCATTCACCACTATTGCAGTCCATGAATCTGCATGATTCATTGCTAAATTGCTCGACAGTGCCCCCCGCTGTGTGCTCAACAACCCGTCGCCCTGGCAGCTTGAAGAATCGCTACTGGTAGCTCTGGAACGTGAAACCAATCGTCACTAAATATTTCCATGTGACGGTGAGAATTGATGACGTCGACGTCACCGCCAAGTGGACTCCATGACAAGCCTGTCTACAACCCAAAAACACTCATTGGTCACCTTCTATTTAGAAGGTATATAATTGACTTATTAAGCAGGTCCCAACAGCCTGTCTCAACATTCAGTTTAGAAGGTAATTCATAGTCTGAATGTTCTTGGGCTGTTGGGACTGGCTGTCCCTTTGTAGAAAAGGAAGCCTGTCCGACATCTGTGCTGCTCTTCCACCGAGAACAACCAGCCATGGATGGGGATAACAACGATGATCCCTGCTGCAACGCTGATCTTCTGCGAACATTATGTAGTCACTACTTGGTCTGCTGCCTCATTGACTCATCCACAGGGCTGCTAGAAGAACAAAGAGACAAGGCATCGATAAAGATTCGCACCTGAGCGCCCGAACACCCATGTAGTTTCCACTCTCAACACAAAGAATCAGAACAGAACAAGTCTGTCTTCATGCTTGTCCTGTCTTCATGCTTGTTTATGAACCCTGTCAGGCAATTCATTGCACAGATTGGTTGTCCTTCACCTGACTTCTTTTCATGGTCTGTCCTTCCCAGGTGACCCTGTCCTCTGTGACCCTGTGCTGCGCCTTTTCCGTGGCTGTTTGGATCCCCAAAACCAATGGAGTGGACAAAAAGGGTCCGGAGTCGTTCGTTCCTGGACTCCGCCTTCCGCTAGTTTTGCGCCGTCGGCTTGAAAGCCCGAACGAGGGTTAAAAAAAAAGAACATCGCCCGGCCTTTCCATCAGGGCCGTCCGCAAGTTTCACGATAATGTGACCTGCCGGTATTGGTGGCGAGGAAATGCGAGGATCTCTTTGTAGGAAAGGAAAGGAAACGCCTGGAACCGTCCACATAATCAGGAGCCTGTTAATAAGAACAAACGACAATCTCTAAGCGATCTGACTATATCTGACCAGCTTGTGTGGGGGAGTCATGATGTATGTATTCTTTGGCCGCTAGATCTCTAGAGTAACCTTTAAGCAGGCTCTACTTGACAAGGATCAAACACCTGAGACCTTGGCGTTTTCGTTGCCAGCAGTCTGTTTGAACTTTCAAGGGATTCAACCTGGAGCCCGTGCCGCATGGCAGGTGCACCATATCGTCCACCGTCGGCTCGTCTGTTACGGACCAAGACCGATTCAATGGGGCTCATGACCACGCAGGGGTCCGTGTGCTACATGATGCTGGCTATATCCAAGAGTGGACCCAAGCAAGGAAACACATAGTTTAATACAATCTGATGTATATATGATATGAAACAGGCGTTGCAACCGCAACCCATCTAAGGCACATACACACAAGCATTGCAACAATCATCACATGGCCCGTTCCCCGCACTATTCGACTACACCCGGTCCGAACGACACGTCACCCGAAACGACTCGGTGGTGCAGTCTGTGTCTCTCGGTGACCTTCTCCAGGCCGTATCTCATAGCCTTGCGCCATTGCCTCGGTCGGATAGACCCTCGGTTTTCAGGGTTGGCTCGAGCTTTGGCGCTGGGTGTTGCTAGCGACCCGAGCTGTAGACACGGAGATTTCACCCCCCTAAGCGAGAAGAGGTTTTACAATCCAATGTTTTTTTGATTACCCATGATTACCCTATGGTTTTGAGGGACCCAAGGGCTGTTTGGAGCGTCTGGGTATATATGATTATATAATGATTATATATGCATATTGAGTCTACAGTCTACGGTAAACATCAGTCTACGTGATCCCTTTTGGATCATCCAGATCCAGATTGGCAGTCATCGATTTGAGTCAAAAAGCGCACCTCACACGACCAAATCCTGTCGTGATTCTGAGTGGGTTTGTTGTAAAAGGGTCCTTTCAACATGGCGTGGGCTGATGAATTACAGTGCATGTATAGTCTCAATGCTCTCAAGCATGAGCAAGCCATGTCTTGGGGCCGAAAGATGCTGACCCCGGCAAAACAAAGAAGGATCATGAAGGCAACGTTTTTCGGACTTTCACAAGACACAAAAAGTAAAGCCTTTAGAAAAAGCCGCCATAGCGTTGTCCGCATGGTTGGTCTCTGAATCTGAACGGACCGGACCAACCATGACCAACCCCTCCTGA